GCATGTAATAATTGTTTTGAATTCCTTGTGTTTTTCTGATGAATAAAATGCACTTGCAAACTAAATAGGGAAAATTCCTAGTACACATGAGGTAGACAAAGAAACACAAACAACTCAAAAATGAATACTAGAATCACCCAAAACCTTTACAACAGCATGGTTGTGTTGAGATATGGCTGTTTACACCAGTGAAAATGAAAAAAATAATGGATTCAATGAATTGTACCTAAGCTCATGACCCGGACCAACTGCACAAGAGATAGTAAATTAAAGCAAAAAGTTAAAAGACTAAAATATGGCCTTTTGGAATATAAATGATGCGATTATGCTGCTTTATGAGTTACTATTTCCTTTTTTGTTTTTTTTTTGGCCAAAATGTTTGCTTAATAAAGTAGAAAACATACTTTGAAGGAATTACCCGAGTTTTTAAATTATTGATGCAAACTAGCTGCTTTTTCCTGTAATGGCATGGGTGTTTGAAGTTCTTTGCCTTTTGTTTGTTTTGGAAGCTTGGATTGATCTGTGATGCTCCAGTTACAAAGTTTTATGCTAAAGCTTATTATTTATGGGAAAATGTAGCATATGAATGTTGCAAGTCACTATTGGTTATGGACTTATGTGGGATAAGTAGCAGTTTCTGGGGATAAAAGGAAATACAGCACATTAAGACCTTCTTGACTATGGAACTTGAGATCGTAAATTTTGGCTCTTAGGATTTTTGGGTGTTGGAATTTCTAAACTAGAGGTTCAACAACGATGTTGCAAATGTTTTCATGATTACAATCAAGTTTGAGACTTGGCTCATTTCTCTTTGAATTTTATGTTTTTTTTCCTTGGGACCTGGGTCTCTAAATTTATGTGGCCAAACTGGCCATACAGGTTTTATTGGGATTTGGGATACTGGAAAAGTATTTCAATGCATGGAAGTTTATTTTGTTGCGATTTTTGAATCAGTTTGCCTTCCAATAGTCACTGAAGAATTAGTAAACAGGGAAACTGATTTTTACCCCTTTATAGTTAGAGGTAGATCACTTTGTTACCACCCTAATGTTAAAAAATGTGCTCATAAGTCATAACCCCTTCTGGTTTTTGAAGATGTAATCATTAGATTGATCATCCAAAGTGACAGTGGTGTTCACTTGCCAAAAACGGGGACGGTGTAGTTGGGGTCAACCACAATTTCCCAAATTAGAGATAGAATCTCTCTAATTGGAAGGAAAATGAGGGCCTCGATCCATTGTGATTCGCTTCCTTGGTGTGGAGAGATCTTTGCATTTCTGTGCTTGCACGGTAGTTATCATTTCACATGATTGCCATCGTATTTTTTTAATCAATATTTAAAAAAAAATAAATTATTGCAACTTTTTCAGATTAGAAAACTCAATTGTATTGTGAATCTGGTCTCAACTCCCCGGGGCTAAGTACTTTCAATCTAACGAGCTATAGCTGTCTATGCCGCTCCTAAATCTTGGACATTTTGGCGCAAGTTGGAGCCCCTTCATGGAATCAAAGAGTTAATCCTCTTCTTTCATATCAAAAATATCCAGGGAGTACAAGATGACAAATAACTTTAGCATTAGAGGAATTGATTTGGTTTTTGCCCTTTATCTCTCTCTTGTGCCCCATACTATTTCCTTTCTTTTTCTTCTCTCTTTTTGTTCTTTTTTCTTCTGTTTCTCATTCTTCTTCTACATAAACTCGACATGAAGTTAGTGGGTTAAGGTTGAATATTTTTGACACTCACCCAATAATGATAGGACTTCTAACTGGAATAATAAAAGGGTTGTGATAATGTTAAGTGCATATAACTTGATTTCAACATGACAAACCTGTTAATTAGTATTATATATAAAATATAATATTTTCGTTATTTATTAGATGATTTATGAATTTTTTGTAGCATTAGGGAATTTTTTGCTTAATTTTGATACTATAACGGCCAAGTGGATTTTTGATTTATAGGGAACCTATGCATAGTGGTTTGGTTGAGAGTGATAGGAGTCCGAGTCTCGAATGTTGGGTGCACGGCTTATCTGTGTCAACCCGAATATGATAGGATAAGAAATAAGTCGAATTAGTGTCAGGACACCTAACACGATTGGTTAAATGGATTGGGTTGGGGTTGAGCATTATCCAATACGAATTCCAAATAACATGACCCAAACACGACAATTTCAATTTCCATTTCTAGTTATGATGTTAGTAGGCATATTCTTATGTACCTCTTTTTGGCTTACACCTTCTCTAGTTTTTCATATAACCAAATGATAAAGTGCCTTGTACTAGGATGCCTCATAGGCTTAAACATTTTTTATTGTCTTTTCTTTCCTGCAAGCAATTCTAGGGCCCAATCTTTTGGTATTTCCTAAACAACTGTGGAAAGTTTAACCAATCTGAAGCATAACTTTGGGCATATGGGAAGGTAGTTCTTTAAGTTTTTAAGGCAGGCTGGTAAGGGATTTGTGTTCAGTTTGGGTGGCTCGCTTGGAGCTTAATGTGGCAGCAAACTTTGGGGTTTCTGTTTTGATTTTGTAGATTGCCAACAAGAAGGTTTTTGAGTTCACATGTTCCTTATAATACCAAGGCTGACATCATGTATGAGGTATGTGATATAGAGAAACATTAATGTGTTTGGAAAAGGAAGAGTGTGTTTATGATGGGCTAAAGTAGTTGTTGAAGGGTTGTTCTGGAAGAAAGGTTGGAGGTTTGCGTATTGAATGGGGCCGGAATCAACTTGGTTCAGAAAGTGAGGTTGTAGCTGCTGGAAATTAAGGACGACAATCAATAATGGTCTGTGGAATTTCCAATTGAAGGCTAAAAACTTAGGGAAAGAGTTCGGGTTATGAAACAAAAATAAAAAATTAAAGGAAATAGGTATTAGTTGCAATAAAATGTTACAATCTGATTTCAACGAGTCAAAGGCTACTGAAGGCCATGTTTGGTAAAGCTAGATAACAACAATATACCAATGACAATAACCAGCAGCAATCCTTTGAAGTTTAGCATAGATAATACTCGACTCAACTCAAAACTACAGTAGGTGAAATTCCTGATTTCTCTTTTCTCTTTTATGTTTGAAGTCTGGTTCATATTTGTGCATGTCCAAACTGATATTCCATTTGCCTTTACTTTTGTGAATTTTTTATTGTTAGGTGATAGGTATCTTCTATGCAGTGTCTAAAATATTACCACTTAGCTAACTTACCCTGGTAATCACATATAGTGAACTCGCTTTTCCAGTTGTCTTGTTTTTTTCCTCTTCCAGGATCTATACTTCTGTAATGGAATCAAGAATTAAGTCACTTAGCTTAGAAATTCTAAGAACAGAGGAAAAATAACTAAACAGATGATAAATAAAATAACCGATAGGGAAGAAAAGCAGTGCTAAAATAGCTTAAAAGTCTAATCTTCTATCTCAACCATCAGTTGAAGCTCAAAGGGTGATTGACATCCATGCAGTTCCAAAAAAATTAAATAAAGCAACTAAACCATTCAAATAAAAACAGTTCATTTATGATTAGATGATTCTGGACCCAGGAACTATTTCACCTCTTTCCAATCTCTACTCATATCGATTTGAATAGAATTTGCAGTTGTGGGGCGAAATATGTATCTGCTTGCTTGGCCTTTGAGTTGCAAAATATTCTATTACATGTACGGCGCCTGAAGGCATGGGCCCCACTCTTTTTTTAAGAAATCCCTACACTTTAGTTGGTTCCCTAGGAATAATGCCACAAAAATGTAGAGTATGAAAGTACAAAAAAATTTCATAGTCATGGGTTCAAGTTTCAGAAGTAATGAAGAATATAATATGTAAAACTTTAGTGTCTTTGTGACTCTTCTTGGGTAAATACATACTTTATACTTTTTTTGCAAATTATTTTGAATTTTGTGTGTATCGTTAAATTTAATTTGGTGAAATTGGACATAAGTTGAGCTAAAATTATTGGCTTGTTTGATGTGTTGGTTTTGAAATTGTTCATGATATGAAGAAATTGAATTAAAATATTGTTGTACTCGAGTGATTGTACGATGAATTATACTGAAATTATAAATTGTTTGATGAATTGATCCCAATTTTTTTTATATCAAATTGAACAAGTTTGAATTAATTTTTTCGATTGTATTAGAAATCGACAACATTGCATTATAGCGAGTGAAAATTTTGATAGGTTATACACACCTAAGGAAATTATAGTAACGAGTTCTTGACTCATTTCATGAAATAGATTCTCAGCTCCATCACCATTCGGCCCCCTTAATACCAAATTCTGGTTCCGTCCCTGCCTGTTACTTGTCTCTTGTGCTGCCTTGGGTCACTTCTTGTGATCTCAAAACTGTGGAGATAAAAAGGTCATATATAGAGCACCAGGTTTTTGCCTATTGTGGGGTCTGAAAAAGACAAGTGGTTGTAGAGGTGTCAATGGAGTCATTTTTTAAGAATAAAAGCGGATGTAAATCCTGTTACAGTCATTGCTCTTCTGTAACGGTGGTACTCCACTAAATCGTGCTGTAGAATGACTCGGAGGGCTCAAAATAAACAATGCCCATATCACCGTGTTAGTCATCTTTGGGAATTTTTTTAGGTTAAATGTTGACCTCTTCATGTAATGACCGGTCAGTAACTTTGTGGTTTCTGTTCCTTAGTATGAGATGAACCTAATTGCTCTTGATGCGTCATTCTTAGTTAGAGGTTTATGTGACATTGTCTAGGATACTTTTAAAGTAATTCAGAATAGGTTGACAATTTGGTGGTATTATTTTTTGTGGTATCTCTGGACAATCTTTGTTTTGTCTGCAAACATGGATGTAACCTCTGTCAACTGTGTTTGCTGAGTTGTTTATGTTGTAGAACTGATGGGGCTTAATGTTATCAAATATGATCATCAAACATAGCATCAATAAAGGAATGGGCATGCTGTAGATTTCCTGTCTTTTCAATTCACTATTTTCCTATACTTTGTTCATAAGTGTATCTCTATTGCAGTACACTTACTATTATGGAAATTGGTTTTGTACAGGACCAATCCCACTGCACTGACACAGGTTTCAATACCATTGAGAACAAGGATAAGCCCCTTCTTTTAAAGGAACTTAAAAAATTATGGGAAAAGCATGAACCGGATCTTCCATGGAAGAGAGGAGAGTATAACGAATCAAATACACTTTTGTTGGATGATTCTCCGTATAAGGCGTTACGCAACCCTGTAAATTCATCAACTTTTTTCTCATTTGTCTTGTTTGGGGTTTTGACTTCGATCTGTCGTCACCTTTACATGATTCGTAATTTATAGCAACTGTAGTGCATGTATTGATATGCCATCTATTTGTTTTTCGTTCTACAGCCAAGCACAGCAATCTTTCCCTATACATATGAGTTCAGGGATGGGAAAGATAGATCATTAGGTGAGTTACCCTCCTTTTCCTTTTTCTTCTCGACAGAAATCTATCATCTCATTTTATGAGTCATGCTCAATTAGATTGTGTTTTATTTACTGGAACTATTTGTGCTTTTTTTGATGAGCGCTCTTCTGGGACATGTAGATAAGTTACGATTGGTCTTTAATACTCTATGGCTAAACACTGATTGCCAAGACCATGTGGGTCTAATCCAAATCCAAACTTTGTGACTTCTATTGTCTTAACAGATTAGTGACAAGAACAGGCTTCCTATTGTAAGCTTTATATATTTTAACTCACCTTTTTCTTTCTTTGAATTTTCGCTAGTTCTTCATTTTGCAATTGTGGATCAACCCTTAGTTAATAGTGCTGTTTCAGAGCTCTAAAGAGGGGAAAACAATATTTAATTTCCTAGTTATTCCATAGAGTGACCATATATGCTTCCCACCCCACCTTTCAGTGAGTTATTCTTGAATTTATGCTTTCCTTGTGTTTATATTTAGTAAATCCGTAATTTCCTATATTCAAATAACAGTAGGATTCCAAATCCCTGAAAATTCCTCTATGGTGTTAGGTAATGTTCCATTTGATTGGTGCCAGTCTTTCCTACTTACAATCTCGGGTTCTTGTGGCAGTGTTTTATCTTTAAGTCATCTATTATCTTGGCTTTCTCTCTCTCTATCTCTATGTGTGTGTGTGTGTGTGACTTTGAAACAATTTGACATGATAGCTCATGATCTTTCTGATTTTGTTATCCGTAGCAGGACCAGGAGGTAATCTTCGAGTTTATCTGGAGAGGTTAGCTTTGGCTGATGATGTTCAACAATATGTAGAGCAAAATCCTTTTGGGCAACGACCTATTACAAAAACCAATTTATCCTGGGGTTTCTATCTTAAGGTTATTGGCAGTAACTCATCCCAGCTGAATGATAATGCTAGTAACTCGGCATCTTTTCAGTAGTAATGAACCTGACAATGGACTGTGAAAAATTATTTTTGAAACAAAGTTTTGCAACTGTACTGATGTAGTAGTGGGGATGTTGTCATTTGTTATTGTTGGTCATCTGTATGGAGAAGCCAGAGCAATCCCTATGACATGGTGTAATTCTTCCCCTTCCTGATCGGGCATCATAGCGCTCCAGTTCTACACCGTCACAGGCTGTGGACCAAGCTATGATGTAGTCTTTGGCTTCCGTGAGGTGAATAGATCTTTTGCATTAAAGAACTTGTGAAATTTGCATCCCAGCCAAATGTTCAGGTTGATTTCGTTTGTGGGATTTATATAATTTTTTTGTACCATTTCAACTTGTAGTAGACAATGAATCTACTCCACATATGATTTTTGCTAGTCATGCATAACCTTTTATTTTATTTGGGGTCTGCATTAGAAGTCATAAGAAAATACTCATTCACAGCTAATTTTGTCGGACTTTTCTTCTAGTTGCAATGTTGCCTGGGATACTTTTTAACCCTTTTCTTGAATCTTTCCTGACCAATATATTATAATAAATCAGATCGTTTTTAAAGAATGCTTGCGGGTTCCTGTGTAGGCCTCTCTGGAAGGGTTTTCTATTGCCACGCCCAGGTAGGGCACATCCTGCTATTACAGATGCTGCACTGATGAACTGGGCAATTTGTTCCATGGGCGATGGCTGTGTCAGAGAGTTGAGGTTTAGCAGGAGTTGGACGACTCCTCGAGGACTCGGGGCAAAGGAAAAGGTCTGGAAGCAAGCCGTCCAACACACAAGGCGATTGTTCATAATTGCCAATTTATGTTTAGTACTGATGGTACTTCGAATATGCCCAATGTTGAGTTTGGTAATACAAGACATGCTCTCTTAAGTCGGAAGTTCAGTTCATTTAAGTTACTTATAGACTTTGGCTTCAGACCTCAAGTTCTTTGCATCTGTATCTCAAGGAAAGCGCTGTAGATGACAACTGACTTCCACCAAGTATCCCCTCACTAGCAACACTTATTCAGACACAAGATTCGTAACCGCCCCAATCTCCACAGCAGTCGGTGTGCAATAAAGGTGACTCTTATGACAAAAAGGTAAGGATCTTGCCTTAGATCAAGCTAGGTCAAGGGTCAACTATAAATAGGAGGCAAAACCCTCAACAGAAAAAACAAGCAATTGTAGCTTCACTCAAATACTCTCTGTAAAATTCCTCATTATCAATATACTCCTCAGGAGTAAAAGACTCTTTTGAGAGTAGATTAGTCGAGTTTATGAGTTGGTAAACCATTATAAACCCTCTGTGTGATAACTTCATTCCCTTGATCCGATTGTCAAGAGCCTTGGAGCTCAGACTAATCTATTCAGTGCACCTTGCATTCATCCCTCTACGATGTCGTGTTAGTAACATCATCAGGTGGCGCCGTCGGTGGGAACTACTTTTCTTGTTAAAAATATATTGAAATTCTTCAGTAATTGATGGTTTTTACGCCCATCATGAGCATAAATCAGATGGATCCCCTCCGATTACAAAACCAACAAGAAGATACTATTGGAAGACAGTAGGAAAATTCTCGTGATTTTTTGTCTACTGTTGAGGTCGATTCTCCCATGATGGATCCATCATCAAACTACCAGTTGGAGGCTCTTCACTTAGCCAATCAACGCCTCCTCTAATAAAATGAGAAGTTATTAAATCTCCCTCTTAGGGGAAACAACACACCAACCCCCTAAGAAACATTACCAAGGGGGATGAACGTAGCCAGATGGTAGGCAATGCCCATTGTCAAGCTTGTAGGAACAAAGACAACGAGGAAGTACAAAGTCAAAAAAAGGAAACTCATAAGAATGAATTTTCCCCATTTCAGTAGGAAAGAAATGAACAATATTAGGAGCAGTGTTTCAAGGAGATTCAGCAAGAGTTTAGCCACATGAAGGAGACAGTAAAGGACAAAACTCTAGTGTCCATGGATGCTTTAGTTCAGCAGATGGAGTCTCCTTTTACTGTGGGGGTGCTATACTTTTCCCTTCCACCAAAATTCAAAATGCCTCAGATGGAGAACTTTGATGGGACAAAAGATCTCATGGACCATCTTAATATCTATGAAAACCAGATGGAGCTCTATGGGTATCAAGACCCAGTACATTGCTGAGCTTTTGCCATCACCCTAAAGGGCTCAGTTATGACATGGTTCAATAGGCTGACCCCAGCATCCATCTCCTCATTTAGGGAGCCCTCCATCTCATTTGTCTCACACTTTATAGGTGTTCGGACTTATCGAAAGTCGAGTTACCACTTGTTAAATGTAAAATAGGGACCCAATGAGATTTTACGGAGCTACGTTCAGAAATTCAATTCAGAATCTCTGAAAGTAGACATCCCTGATGAAAAATTTGCCCTCGACGCCTTCATTGTCGGGCTGGACGTCTAGTCAAAAGACCTAATGTTCTCTATCTCCAAAACTCACAAGCCAACATAGCAGAAGTCCTTGCCAAAGCAGAGAAATACATCAAAGGTGAGGAGGCTCTCCTTTCCAAGGCAGGGAGCTCAACCACACACAAGGAGAAGGAGAAGAAGAGGGACTGAAGTCCCAAAAAGGAGGGAAGTTGAATCAGGTCTCTATGAAGAGACAGAGATCGCTCTCCAAAAAGAAGAAGAAACATTAGAGATTGCCTGGGTCCCCCACCCAGGAGTTACAACCAAGATTCGCACCACGGCAGTTCACTCCCTTCAATGTCATGGTGTCCCATGTCCTTTATAAAGTACAAAATGAGAAATTTCTGAGGTGACCATTTAGAATTAAGGCAGACCCCACAAAACGAGATGCAACAAAATATTGTGAGTATCACAGAGACCATGGCCACCTAACAGATGATTGTATCCGGCTAAAAAAAGAAATCAAGTTCTTGATTCAAAGGGGGCAACTGCGCCACTTTGTAGAGCAAGACAATCAGAACCGAGCTCACCCAACCCCAGCACTTTAGCAGTAAGTTCCTGCACAACACCAATAGCCTCTAAGAGAAATCAGAGTAATATCAAAAGGATTTATTGAAGGTAGGGAAACCATCTTAGCCAAGAAGGCCCATATGCACAAAGTCTGAGCGGAAGACGTACTGGAGGTACAAGTTGTGTCTAAAGCACCTCGATTGAGCATGAACATAACATTCTCCGATGCAGATCTAGAGGGTTGTCAGCATCCCCATGATGATCCCTTGGTGGTGAGGGTTATCATCGCCAACAAAACTGTTCATCGGGTTCTAATCGACCATAGGAGCTCTACTGATATCATCTTCGCATTCGCCTTCGACAAGATGAATATTGGCAGGGGCAAGCTCAAACCAATTAGAACTCACCTGCTCGAATTTTCAAGAGAGAGGGTGCTGTCCTTGGGCTCCATCCCGCTTGTCCTAACCATGGCAGACCCACCTTGCCAATCCACCACCATAGTGAGGTCCTTGGTAGTCGACGCCCGTTCAGCATACAACGTTTTACTAGGGGGGCCTTCCCTCAACGTCATGAAGGCCATACCTTTTGCCTACCACCTTGTAATGAAATTTCCTACCTAGAATGACATTGAAGTGGTCCGAGGAGACCAGCGAGTGGAACGAGAGTGCTACATGACGTCTATGAAAAAAAGGGAGGTCGAGACTATACAACTGGATAAGCTTGACATGAGAGATAAACTAGAGACAAGACCTATGCCTTCGGAAGAGCTGGAGCCTATCCAACTCGATGAAGAACCATAACATTTGATGTATGTGGAGCAAAACTACTCAAAGAGGTCAAAAGCCTCCTTATCCAATTTAGTAAGAATAATTTGGAGGTATTCGCATGGAAGCAGAAGGATATGGAGGGAATTGATCCCTCGGTCATCACACACAAGCTCAATGTGGATCCAACCTTCAAGCCCATCAAGTAGAAATGAAGAAGTTTTACCCCAGAACGTCAGAAAGTAATAAATGAGGAGGTCTCCAAGCTCCTCCATGCCAAGACCATTAGAGAGATAGGTTATCCGACCTAGCTGGCCAATGTGGTCCTTGTAAAGACGACCAACGACAAGTGACATCTCTGCATCGATTTCACTGATCTAAACCGCACCTAGCCCAAAGACATCTTGCCACTTCTTAGAATCGATTTGATCGTGGATGCCATAGTAGGTCATGAGCTCCTAAGCTTCATAGACGTTTTTTCTAGATACAATCAGATAAGGATGGATCCCAGCGACCAAGAAAAGAAGTCGTTCATGACTGAGCAGGGAACCTACTGTTACCAAGTTATGCCATTTGGGCTAAAGAAAGCTGGAGCTACTTACCAACGTCTGGTGAACTGAATGTTCCAAAAATAGGTCGGGACGACAATGGAGGTATACATTGATGACATGCTAGTGAAGTCATTGAAAGTTAAGCTTCATATCAAACACCTCGAAGAGTCTTTCCAGATCCTTAAAAAGTACTAGATGAAGCTCAACCCAGTCAAATGTGCTTTTGGGGTCTCAGTCAAAAAGTTCCTGGGTTTAGTAGTCAATAGCCGAGGAATAGAGGCTAAACCAGAAAAGGTCAGAGTTGTAATAGACATGCAATCACCCTCAAACATCAGAGAAGTTCAACGACTAACTGGGAGGATAACAGTTTTGAGTCGTTTTGTCTCTAGAACAAGTGACAAATGTCAGCCCTTCTTCTAGATCTTGAAAAAGGCGTACCAATGGGATGCACAGTGCGAGGAGGCGTTCAAAGCTCTCAAGAACTACCTCAACTTTCCCCCAATCCATGTTTGCCCTAGAGAGGGAGAGGTGTTCACCCTGTACCTTATTATTTTAGATTTCTCATCTAGCACAACATTGGTCAGAGAACGAGACAGAGCTCAGCAACCAGTCTACTACTGTAGTAGAATTCTGAGGGGGGACAGAGGAGAGATATCCGAAGATGAAGAAACTAGTATTAGCTTTGGTCACAACAGCAAGAAGGATTAGACCTTATTTTCAGGCTTTTACGATTGATGTCCCTACAGACCAACCAATGAAGCAGGTGTTGCTCAAACTAGAGTCATCACGGAGACTAGTCAAATGGGCAATAGAGCTTAGTGAGTTCGATATCAGATACAAACCCAGGATCGCAATCAAAGGACAAGTATTGACAGATTTCATTGCAGAATTCACAACAGATCCAGAAGCATTCGCGGAGGCAACCCAGCTGATACCCGACCTCCCAACATGGAAGCTTTCAGTAGAAGGAGCTATCAATGCC